TGAAGAAGTGGGCTAAATATAAAACATTTAACTATGAACACATTTTGGTTCAGAATTAGGCTCATTTATCAAATTTGGGGCTTGTTAGTGAATAATCTTTGGACTTATGGAACTTTACAGGGAGTGTAGCAAAAGATATTTTAAGAATAAATTCAACTATATTTTAACAGGAGACAAACGGGCAGAAGGCTCACATGATGTTAAGTAATACCGCCGCACATGGACACTCACATTGCCAAAAGGCTTGCAAGTGCGTTGCCGGCCTTATAAGAATTGTAACGCTCTTTTCTTTAAACACCAAGTCGATTTTTTTTTAAATACTAGAGCGCAGCTGGTTCCACATAGTGGTGATGCGCGGCAAAAATTGCCTTAAGAGACGTATATTATTTAATTTATATGATATACAATTTGTATGCCCCATATTTTATAACACGAGCTGAAATTTCTCCACTCTACAATTGAAACCGCAGCCCATTCGTTGAACTCTATCGTACGGAAAACGTATCATAAACAATTTTCTTCAAACACCTACAACATACCGACATAGTTATTATTTTAATTTTAACATTATAATTTACTTAATATATAAATAAATAATAAGTTAAATGACTCCTATATATATTAATATAAAACCTTTTTAAATTACAAAGTTTGAATATAGAATCCAGGAAGCATTACAACGTTCAAAAGCAGACGGAATGTCGGAACTATGAAAGCATAATGCCATCATAATCCCTCTATATGTATTAATGGAACATACCTGTTATTGAATAAGAAAATCCTAATACACTCTCTATTTCAAAAGTTATTCACACACTTCACAACACAATATTTTCCGATTTAATAGGTCGGTAAAAGTTTATTTAACAAAAAACACGTGCGGTACGTGTGAGCCGTCGCGCGGGACTGGCTTGACGCTTGCTTGCCGACCGGTCGGAGATTTCTCGCCGTAAACATCAGAAACACGGCCTTTCTTCGGCTGGCGAAACTCATCTTGGTTATTACTAATGGTTCTCGATAGCGCATTTATATTTAACCTAGTATTTTTTATTCATAAAAATATTGCCTCCTTAATAGCGCTTTAGCTCGGGGTTTATTTCGGTTTTCAGTGGGAAAATGAACGAAAGTGATAAAACATTAAACAAAATTATTTCACCGATAAATAACAGCAGTAATTTCATTTCATGTCATTACATTCTGTTTGAAAGGTTGGTAAAACATGTTTCTAATGATCTACAATAATTAATAACATTTTTAATGTGGATTGGTACAATCTCTGCAATGATGCCATAACCTGGATCGTACTAACTAAATAATTCCGACCGATAAGGATAAAAACAACTTCTCGACCTTGGCCACTGGGGCATTGGACCGCCCAGTCAATGGTTACTAGCTTACTAGACTAGACAAGGATCCATCATTTAGGTTGGAGTAAGAGCAGCACCTTCCTTTCTCCACAGTATGTATTTCAAGTAGATTGCACAACATTTTGCATTATAAGGAATGAATAAAACAATTATTATGCGTTTACATCCCTGAGGTCGTAAATTCGATCTCCGGCTGTGTACTAATGGATTTTCTTTCTATATGTGCATTTAACATTCGCTCGAACGCTGAAGGAAAAACATCGTTAGCAAACGACCCAAATAGTCGACGTCGTGTCAGGCACAGGAGGCTGATATCCTACTTGCCTATATGATTGACAAATGATCTTGAAACAGATACAGAAATCTGAGGCCCAGACCTAAAAAGGTTGTAGTGGCACTGATTTTTTTTGAGTTTACACACACCTAACCAAATTGTTATCAATTCTATTTATTTCAACTAGGCTGGACTGTCTTCTATACAAATCACAAATAATATAATAATTATAAACCATATTAAGGTACAAAACACACCTCGACTCACTAAAACAGCATTTAAAAGATACAAAGTGAATATATGCGATCGAATGGAATTAAAAACGATAGTAAGGGAAATCGAAGGCTTTCTTTTGACTCATTTATCGTGAGATGACGTCTGAAGTGGTCAGGATATAAACTAAACGCGGTCAAGGTGTTCACTATTTGAAATAGGATGCAAGTTGATTCATTCAAAGGTTTTACGGAAAGCACGTGTGTATTTGTGCCGAAAATTGCGAATATTCAACTTCTACAAATTCAATTCAATTACAAAACTAACCTAAACCGTTTTTATTGTTGAAATAAAATTTATCAATTATACATTTTTAGAATACTGAAGATATTATGTGATTGCTTTCTGCAAACATTCATACCACGTTAAGCAACGTCGGGCGCGGTCAGTACTTGGATGGGTGACCGCCTGGGAACACCGCGTGATGTTGGCTTTTTGGTTTTCCGGTACATCAAAATGTGCCATTGCTTTTGCGAAACGAAAGCAACTGTCGGCAGTTTTTCATACTTATTTTTGTACAATTTTAGGTTTTATTAAAATGAGTCGCACCCATTCCATCGGTCCCTCGCCAACGTCCATACCACGTTGAATACACCGGTTCTCGTCCGATCACCGAAGATAAGCAACGTCGGGCGCGGTCAGTACTTGGATGGGTGACCGCGTGGGAACACCGCGTGATGTTGGCTTTTTGTTTTTCCGGTACATCAAAAAGTGTCATTGCTTTTGCGAAACGAAAGCAACTGTCGACAGTTTTTCATTCTTATTTTTTAAATTTTGAGTATTTCTATATTTATTTGCCTCTTTTAAAAAATGTTTAAAAAAAATCTCTATATAGTGGGAAATTCTTTATGCCATCATTATAGCTTATCTACATTACTTTTATTTTTTTTTAATTAGAATCGGTGACATTTGTGGTAATTTATTCCAAAAAAAAATTAAAAACCTCAGCAGGGTAGTCTGCAACGTTCCTTTTTTGTTACTATTTAGTGTTTAAATTAAAAATATCAATTTGAGGCAACCATCCTAAAATTGTGAATTACCTAAACATATTGATGGATTTTATTATTAAGTATAGCAAAAAAAGCTGAAGATAGTACTATAATGATTTTAAAAGTAGCCTGTTTAATCTATTTTGTTACCAATTACCATAGACCAAAAATAATTTTAAAGTTTTGATTTTATTAAAAATATCTACAATTTTAAAATGTTTGCTTATTTTAGATAAAATTTGGGGCTTTGTTGAACTCCTCTATCTGCAATTTATATTTTTTATTAGGTAAATATATTTTACTGAAAAAATAAGAATTTTTTGTTATTAAATTGTTTCATTGAATAAAATTCAGCTTGACTAAGCGTAAAGTAATTTCCATGCTGAAATAAAAGTTCTTAATGAAAACACAAAATAACCTGTTATAGCTTAATCAACATTTATTATAATTAACGGTTTCACTCTGTATCTATCTGTATTTTCTGACTTTAACATTCAATAAATCGGTTTCAAATTTCTTTTCTTTCTTTAACTTTTTCTTCAGTCTATAATCCTTATTTTCTTAAGCAAATGTCAGTTAAAAAAAGGGTGCGTGTACTTATGTACGCGCGTAAGAAGTTATACTTCTTTGGCATTATTAAAAATAGTTTTTGATTGCATGCAAATAATTAATTACAATTAAATAATCAAAGACTGGAAAAGGAGTCATTATAGTCAATTAAGTTCAGTTTACATTTGAAAAATTAAATAAATAATTATTTATTATTATTCTCTTACATTAAGTGTAACATAAACTCTATTTAGTTAAAAGTATATATAATTATATATTTAGAACATCTCTACCAAACACTAAGAAGTATGTTGTAGCTTTGGCAGTATTGCACAATATAAAATTAATAAATTTCTTTGAAAAATTAATCAAAACTCCTTTATTTGTTTAAAAGGTAAATGACAAATGTCATTATGGTCATTCAAAATTCTTGGCATACGAACTTCACGCATATTCTATTTCTTTTTACTTGTAGATTGTCTTATTCCTATCTCGCTCGCGCACGCTATAATCACACTCCGAATTTTGTGTCACAGGTGCGCGCGCATCGTAAAATTTCACTCTCATAAATTTTTCATAACGCGCCTAAAGAAGTTCAAAAACAATACAATATTGGAAAAAAAAATTCTTAGTAACTAAGTCTTAGAAGACTAGAAAAAATATTCTACTTGGAATATAAATAAAACAAGTTAATTAAATAGCTAAATTATATTTGGGGAACTCGTCGAATTATCCATAAAATCTTATACCTAATACTAATTTAAAAGAAATAAAATTCATACAACGCAATTTCAGTCATACAAAATACATTCATAGATAATTTAGAATAAAACATAATTTACAGGTATTACTATTATAACTATCGCTTCTATTCCTGGATCATGTCATTGCAAACCTGTAAAGAAAAGAGAAAGATATTAGACGATTCAAGGTTCAAACCTGGAGATGAAAATAAATTATAACTCGTTTTTATACTATTGTAAAAATTGTGTCACAAGAGTTCTGTAATCTATCATTAGTTAAGTTACATTCATATATTTTAGTAAATAATTAGAACCGCAAACCAAATGTAAGCAATCATCACACACTTGAAGCCAAAATTAGCTCTTTAGTTTTCCCACACTAATAAATTGTAAAATCCGATTTCTTATTGTAATACAACATTCTTGTTTCCGATAATGTCCAAAAAGGTAGAATACACTCGTATTGAAATGTCACTTAGATTTAAGAACCCTAAAATAAGCGAAGTTAGTTTTTTATTAGCGTCGCAACTTCACCCCTAATTTATGCTAGTTATAAGCTCATATTTTAAACGATGAAGGCGGAAACACATTATTAAAACGCCACGCGACGCCATGCGCGGAAACGCTACCCGATCAGACATTGACCCGATGTGTTGTTGATGGTGGGGGTGAACACGCCACCGGTGACCGGACTTGAACCGCCGCGCGTCGCGCGCAGTGTGCTTCTTGACAACACCCGACGCCACGCGTATCTCACGCGAATATCAATTTATATACTTACATATTTTTGGTTTTATTTGGCGAAATGAACGACGAACAATTAATTGAGTTGGTGAAACGATATTCTGTTCTATATGACATTAGATTAGCTCAATACAGGGACCAAACTGTGAGAAATAATGCATGGGAAGAAATAGCCGAACAAATGAATACAAGCGGTAAGTTTTATTAACCCTAGAAAGATAACCATACGTCATTTTGACGTATAAATGTTTGAGTGCTGGGATTTGTATATCATATGCTTATGAATGTGATTGTCAGCTTTAATATATGCAATTAACTTAATAATAAATTAAAAAAACATAAGTGTATACACTATACATATATTTTAATTAGCTAAATCTTAAATAAACTAAACACAGCTCTTTTAACACTTAAAAACTTAAACATGATGGAGTCTCTTCATCAGCCTTATAATTTAAGAAATAAACTTTTTAAACTTATTATAAAATGATCAACCGTAACTAATATTTTTTTATTGATATATAAGGCTAACCCTTCAATGCACTTAGGACAGGCGCTCGACTTATGCTCTCCAGTAGGTATATAATGACGAAAGTATTGCACTTATCTAAAAAAACACGACTGTCACCTGCAAGCTACTTGGGTCCACTGAGTTGACAGGAACGGCCAGTGCCATGACGCGTATATAGAAACAAATAATATAGATTTTTTAAATCGACTACGTCGATTCGACGTAGGTTATCTTTCTAGGGTTAATATACTAGCTTTAAACCCGACAAACGTTTGTTTTGTCATGCATATTATTTCTAGGAAACATTTTTTTAGTTCAATAAAAATAACTATCTATAATAATAAAAAATAGGGGTTGATTGTAGAGGGGTGAAAATTAGGGGTTGTATGTATTTTTGTATGCTGTATCATAAAAAAATAAATAAAAAAAAATTTTTTAATAAAAAAACTTTTTTGGGGTGGACACCCCTTATCACTAAGGGGTTTGTAAGATGGATATAGCCGATTCTCAGACTTACTGAATATGCATAAATAATTTCATAAGAATCGGTCGAGCCGTTTCGGAGGAGTATGGGAACGATCAATGTGACACGAGAATTTTATTTTGTATTAGTTGCAAGTTTTTAATTTTGTTCACAATATCAAGCTGCCACGGAACGGCGCTTTCACCACTAAAATATTCCTGAAAATGCATACTGTGTGGAATTTCTACGAATTGGATTTAAGTCGTGAAACGCTGTAGATTCTGTTGGTTTCGTGTTGTGAATCACAGTCCGAAGGCAAATTATCCGTGCCTAAATAATTATGTAAGCAACATGTAGCTAGAATTATTTGGCAACCATGTCGGGTTGAACTGTCATAGAACCAGCAAAAACACGCCATTTTGATCTTAAAATCCCAAAGGCATTCTCAACTATACGTCACGACTGTTGGTCACGTCACGATGCGAACATCATTCTTGCTTTAGGGTCGCATTAAAAAGGGCTTCAAGGGAAAAGCTTCATTTTCACATTTGGCAATAGTTCAGAATTTGGAGTTAAAGGTTTAGGACCGGGTAACTCTTAACTTTCCATGTTGTATGAATTGGCCTAAGACGGATTTTTCAAATATTCCACCATCACTATTTTTACCATACGAGCCGACGTTTATGACTAAGAATCTATATCTTGGATCTACTAATGCCAGTAGTACGATTGAATTTGTCCCCTTGTAGATCCAATAATAATATAATGGTAATATGTTTTCCATCCAGTGCCCCTCACAGCAATTGCGGAAATTCCAATAATGTCTAAAACCATTTTCACGTTGCACTTGTAGGTTTTGGCATATAAACTGGACCATTTTCTTCCAGATTGCATCGCAAACGCCTTGTACTATTTGTCGTACGGTACTGAATCCCATGCGATAGTTGAATCAATGTTCCAACGTTCAGAATGAACTACCTGTAGCTAAAAACTTGTAACAATAAAATTCATATGATCATCTTTTTTTCCAGTTGAAGAAGTAAAAAATAAGTGGAGCAAATTAAGAAACTGCTTCACCAACGCCTTAAAAAGACGCCGCAAGAAGAGTGGACAAGCAGCAGCTAAAGCAGTTCGATGGAAATTAGAAAAGCAAATGGAGTTTCTTCTACCACACGTTGAAAGGAGATATACAGTTACAAATGATGACGATTCGACACAAGATAACGAATATCTATTTTCTGAAGAATCTGCAGTTTCACCTCCTCCTACCATTCGTTCACCCACTCCAGGAACCTCCTCTTTAAGGCCATCTGCAGGAGCATCTACTCAAAAATCTACTGCAAGTTTTACTCCGAGATGTTTAAGCATAAATGATAATGACAATAATGTATTTAATGAAATGGTTAATGTCACGAATGCGACAGAGGAAATGATACAGATGAGATCAGTATCAGATATGGACGAGAATGACTTATTCTTTTTATCAATGAGTAAGCAACTAAAAAAGTTACCTAAAACGGACCAAGCTGAAATTAAGTTTCAATTACACAAGCTTATATATGAATCGGAAATGAAAATGTTAAATAACCGTGAACAAATTCTGAATACACCAATAAAGTTTGAATAATATTCTATATCATACTAGCTGACCCGGCAAACGTTGTTTTGCCATATTTGTAGAAAAAATTTTTTTAGTTCAACAAAATTAACTATCTATTATAATAAATAAGGGGTTACTTGTAGAGGGGTGAAAATTTGGGGATGTATATTGTATGTATTTTTGTATGCTGTATGATAAAAAAATAAAAACAAAAAAGATTGTCTAAAAAATAAAGATTTTTTTTGGGGTGGACACCCCTTATCACTTAGGGGTTTGAAAGATAGATAGTAGCCGATTCTCAGACTTATTGAATATGCATAAAAAATTTCATAAGAATCGGTCGAGCCGTTTCGGAACAGTATAGGAACGAACATTGTGACACGAGAATTTTATATATATAAAGAGATATTATTCAAAATTGTTATAAAATCCTTTCAAACTGTAGTTTTCATTCTGCGACTGTTCAGCTTCTACTTCTGTATTTTCTTCTTCTGATGTCATAACGTGTATTTCTGTTTTCATTTCGTGTTCATTGTTACTAGTTATATTTATTGGAGTATTCATTTTATCACGGTTATTTAGCATATTCATTTCCGATTCGTGTATTAGCTTGTGTAATTGAAACTTTATTTCAGCTTGGTCCGTTTTAGGTAACTTTCTTAGTTGCTTACTCATTAATAAAAAGAGTAATTAATTCTCGTCCATATCTGATACTGCTCTCTTCTGTCTCATTTCCTGTGTTGTTTTCATTACATGAACCATTTCTTTTAATACATTATTATAATTTTATGATAACTTTTTTTTTCCCTTCAGTACTTACCTCAGACAAATAGCTAGTCTTTCTTTAGTGCTAATGGATTCGCCAAATGTTGTGTCTTTCTAGTATATATCCTTTTTAATAAAAACGTGTATCTCCTCAAATTGTGTTTTAGTAACCCGAAAGTACATACGAAATCTTTCATCATCTTGAAGTGGAATAATAATCACCGCATGTACTTCTCTTTTGATTTATTTCATACAGTAACGCCTAGTCATTATTTTTTATTAAGTCGTTTAAGTATCAAATGTGTACCCAAAATTTGCATCAAATCTTCAAAATCTTCATCTGACTCGTTATTTATTAAATCCAAAGTACAATTAGCACACGAATAAACCTTCACTATTGTCAGCTTAATAAATTCGGAATTTGCAAGCGTATCATGGTGTCGCGTGTTGGTAATGTGCACGATGCACATCGGGTTTCGACACGTTGCGTCGCATGACGTTTTAATAATGTGTTTCCGCCTTTAAAGTTGACACCCAGCTTCAAACAAAGTTTTTCATTAAACATATATTTGAACATCCCTACAACAACCGCTACCGAACTTAACACGAGTAAAACTTATCTAATAAATTATTTTGCTTCTTTATAATTTATTGTCTAGACCAAGAAAATAAATCAAAAATATATCCTTTATTACAAATTTAAAAAAATATGTGGGGGTCTTCTATAATTGAACCTATATATCTGTATAGTACCTGAATATCTACAATTAGCCACAATAGATATGATGATGGCATAATATCTTAAATCATCGATCCGATTTATGTAGTGATAGTGTCAGCTGCCATTGTCATTATAATTTAATAATAAAGATAATTACTACAGACTATCAAATAGTAGATATAATAGAATAATATGTAGATCTATTAATATTGTTAAATCAAATGAACCACGGAACAGTTTTGAACTAATTTGATTTTGATGTTATTAAATAATGAAAATGGCAGCCGATACCAGTGCCATTGCCCCGACATATACAGGGTAGCCAAAAAGTCGTGGATCAAACGCAAATAGGGGATAGATGAGGTCATCAGCTGCAAAAAATTGTTCTACGGGAGGTCTCTAAGCTCAACCCCTGCAGAGTTATAATTTATTTTGCGTTTTTATAAGAAAATTGAAAATGAAAAATCGGAGTATAAGTGCACAGATTAAAAATAATCATTCTGCGTACGCTTAGTAGGCAATAATCTGTAAATATATCTTTTAAGAGATATATTTATATCTCTCTCTATCTCTTAATCAATAAACAAATTATTTATTAACATAAAAAACAATACCTTAATATCACCCATCAGCCTCTTGTCCGAAGAAGAAACTTCTTGGTTTTTTTACAAATGTCGAGTCAGGGTGGAGATCTCTATAACAATAAATTTAGTATCAATATTTTAAAAATGAATGTTATTTTAATGATTATATGAATACATTTAAACAATTATATATAAGGATATATGAAAGGATCTATATATGGACACTACATTTTTAATGATACATAAATACATGCGACTACTAACGTGGGGACGGAAAATTAAAAACATACCAACTGGTTGTTAATTTTTTTTCACGGGCAGTTCCAAATGAACACTGCACCCTTAACTCAATTCGTAATTTTGACTTTAACGAAAATTTAACGTATACGTACGTACTCGTTACGTTACGAGTATCGGGTAAGGGTACAGTGTAGCTATTCTAGCACTAAAATCTGAATCTACGACAACGCTTTGCAGAACTATGCACTTACAAATTGGATTAAAATGTTTCCCTCCTTTTAAAAATGTGCCAAATTCCAGACAGGTTTTTATAGAACGTATACTTTTCTGTATGCCTAGTAAAAAAACGTAATAAGTCATTTGTCTAAGTTTTCTTAGACAAATGACTTAAATTATATCAGTTAAAAATATTGGTTAAAGATTGAAGTTAAGTTTTTGTAAGAGCATAGTTCGCATAGGATTAGAATAACCTCTTTCAGTACGAAGTCGATAAGATTCGATACGACATTATACTTGGCAGCGTCCATCCCGTACTGAAGTATGCTATTAGCGCAATATTGGGACATTGGGGCAACACATGTGTTATATAACAGGAGTGCTAACATCCATTTCTGGGTGCGATTGGGATTCTTAGCCACGGGTTCGGACATGGGACGCGTTGGACGTTTAGTTTCCACTGCGGGTTCATTCAAGGCATCTTTCAGCTCCTGCGACATTTCAAAACTAAACTTGCGTTTAGTATGCCGTGTTATCAATCCGGTTTCTATATGAATACTCTTAGCAATTACGGCTGGTATGAATATAGAAACCGGTCGTCCGAAATACATTGCTTGAATGCTTCAATAAAGGATTAGTTTAATATAATAAATATTACATTATACATCTTTGTCAAACAGATAAACTATTTTTCTTAATTTAGTAAAAAATAGATCTTTATTAGGAATATTTTTATTTTATTTATTTATATTGTTCTAAAACAACGTGTATGCATAAAATTGTACAAGAAAATATGACAATACAAATTTTACACATATACACATACACATCAATTATATTAGAACATAAGCAAGCTAGCAAGGGAAAAAATTAAACAAGCAACCACAAAATAAAATAATAATTAAAAAATTAATAATAACTAAAACTAAAATAATAATAATAATCACTAAAACTAAATGATAACTTAAACCTCATTAAGAGTATGATAAACAAAGTTACGGTAAATTGGAAGGCTGTTGTAAGATATATCAATCATAATATCACGTAAGTAGCTTAAGAAGTCTTCGGATAAACGTTTTCATTCCATTAATTTCATATTCAATATTGAATAAATTATATTTTAATAGTAAGCATTCAAGCAATGTAAAAGTATTGATAAAATACTAACCGTTTGTCAAAATACACCGGAGTATTGTCTGCTTGCGAACTTGACGCCGGCTGTAATAGAAAAAAAATGTATATTAATAATAATATTTTTAATAAGTTAATCCCTTAAAAGGAATTTTTTTTTATCGAATTGAAGTTATGTATTATAAATTTATAATTATTTTACATAATTTTAAATTTAACCGACGTTTCGCGTGCTTTAGAGCGTGCGTGGTCACGGTGACTGAAGACAAAAGGATTTGAATGTCAAAAAGTATCAGAGCTGTAGAAATATATATATATATATATATATATATATATTATATATGTCAACGTAAAATTGTAAACACCGTTAGAATGTTATCTATCTCGCGAGATTGTAAACTGTCGAAATTTACATTCATCAAAACAATCAATTTACATTCGACAACAAACGAATTAACAATCAAATATGATGGCGCGGGGCATATTCTGTTCAACCAATCAGCGCGCGAGGTGCGATCCGTTTCACAATTTGACGATTTCACTTCGATAGATTACAATCTACCGAATAATAATACGTTAAATTGTAAGGAGTACGCTGAGGTTCACAATCTTTCGACAGTTTATAATCTCGCGAGATAGATTACAATCTAACGGTATTTACAATTTTACGTTAACATATTATATAATACATAACTTCAATCCGGTAAAAAAATTTTCCTTTAAATGTGTAAAAGTTATGTCAAAAAAAGACATACATAACATATACATAATTCCTGTTATCGTTATGGTGCACTTATTCTATGTAAGCTTTTATATTTCGAATTTTTCAAGAATTTCCTTATAGTTTGAATTTTTTATTAGTGAAATATGTCTTAGTATGATATATTTGCAACGGAAATTTAACTATTCTAACCGCTTACTGCAGTATTTCCCAACATATGCACACGCCCCACAGGGGAGCAATTTGATTGTTAAGAATAATTCTGTTCGAAAATTTTTTCAAAATTATTTGTAACATGAATTTCAGTTTTTCATAATATGTTTTGAAGAATTCTTAGTGACCTATCATTTAACAAGAGAGTGAGTAAGACTTTCAATTTTTTGCCTCGAGCGTGGACACCGAATCCAGAAATTCCGTAACGAAAAAACCTTGCGCGTTAGAGCGGGACAGAACGGATACTGCGTATTCACATCTCTCTGACGAGATCGGTGCAGCCGGTGCGCGTTAGAGTAAGACATACTATATAGGCGAGTTAGTCTGAGTCAGGTAAAGAAAAAACTTGAATTAACATCAAAGAAAAAAATACTGCATAAATAATTATAATTACATAAGTTGAAAAAAAATTATGCTATAGCTTTACCGCGGCAGTCCCCGAGTGCCACACGTTTTTTTTTATTTTATGTTCAAAACTATATATTATGTTACAAATGGGGAAAAACAATTTTAGAGATAGGTGCATTTTGTAAGAACCAAAATGTAACGTATTGCTCACATCACGTATAGAAGACCTGGGTACGATTCTCAACAATAATGGTTTCGAGTTAAGCAGAGGCTAACTATACATCAAAACTACACACAGAGCGAAATATCCCACACCCAATTGGGACGAGAAAACATTTTAAAATCGGAAAATAATATTTTCTATTATTTATATCATCTCAGGAATATTTGGTCCTTCGATCCGGATTGATAATAATATTTTTTTTTTTTATTTACTATTAAAGTCGTATCCGAACGAATTACAAATAAGTGCACAGTTAGCTATGACAAATCAAAATATAATTAAAAACTACTTAATTATTTGTCATAATATATTATAAATCCTCACTGGAGAATGATAACCTCGTATGTCAAAAACCATTTATTTTATTATTCTTAGACTCTTGTGTCATTTAACTGGTATAATCATGAAGTGTTATTAATAAATAAGTCCTTTTTACCATCCAAAACTATGGACAAAAACACATAATAATATATTAACGAACATTGACGAAATTAACCATTTATTTCGTTTCCTGTTAAGTTTGGTTCTCTGGATATACGAGGTTATCATTCTACAGCGACGAAATATTTCCGTATTATAGAGGCACTAGGCCATTAATATTCGGGACTATACATACATTATTTTCTTTATCTTCGCTATCGGATGACAGACGCCGATTCTTGCAGAGGTGCTGCGAACATCTGCATTTGGGATGGCATCCGCGATCAGTTTTCACACAACCGCAGAGTTTGCTGCTGCAGCTACCTCTGCAAGTGCAGTAGGGGAGGGTGTCGCTACGCCGAGTCGCCGTAGGATTACCGTTGGATTCTGTCGGCGGAACGAAGTTCATCGTCAGGCGTTGGCTCTGTAATCAAATTAAGAGTATGTCACACAAAAATGTACAAACTTTTTTCTATGGAAAATAGTACTTTTACTAAAGCTTATTGAAAAATTCATTCTTGAGCTTAGGTTTCCTAGAAAAGCGGTGCCGTTATCTAACGGCCGTAATGTAACGTTGGGTGACGTCACCCATACGTTGTCTATAAATAACATCGGAGTAGGTTTTCTAGAGAACGTTGAGTGTCACCGTAACGTCAAATAGCGGTGCTGTAATTTGCATGACGGCCGTCATAGCGGTGATAAACATTAGTTCAACGTTTTTCGCGTGTAGCGGTGCCCATATTTAATTAATACAATGAGTGGAAACGTGACTTGGACGAGCGAAAATGATTGTTTTTTTGCATTACTATATTAAAAAGTAAAGACGGCCGTTATTAACAACCGTAAAATGACGGACGTTAGTTAACGGCACCGCTTTTCTAGGAAACCTAAGCTTTAGCGTTGACCCGTTTGAACTAGAGAAACGTGGTATTCCTTCCAAAATTGAGTTTGAGTTATGTACGGTTTTTTATCAATTAAAACTTCGATAAGTCAATGAAATAGGCACAATTTTGAAAGTAATTCTGTTTTGTATGAATTAGTTTAATAAAGTTAATACACATTGGTAAGATTACAAAGTGCATGTTTATTAACAAATTTAGCAGAAGACATTGCCCAAAGCCTGAAGAACTGCCCATTTGTTTAATTAAATCTTATGATGATATTACTATCATGCCGTAAGAAAATGTATAACACAGGAAAGCTTCGATTACTAAAACGCCATCAATGTTGTGGTAATTAACTAATGCTAAATCTAATAAAATCGAAATATTATGACTTCGTGGGCTAATCGATTTTTTGGAGCAGCCAGATAAAAAATATTATTAGACAAATTTTTTTTTAAATATTATAAATGTAGTTAAAAAATTAGTAATTGGCCTGGGAGGAATAAATCAAATAAAGCAATATCGATTATTATAACTCGCGAAAGAAATTTTCAAATCGCGATTTAAAGTCAAAGTCAAAAATCATTTATTCATGTAGGTAATACAATGTACACTTATTAACGTCAAAAGAAAGAAAAATACATTTACTGCCAGTTCTCAAATCAAGGCCATAGGACGGAAGAGAAGAACTGGAAATAAACTCTCCGCCACTCTTTTTAATCGCTAAGTTTTTTGTTTTACACAACGTTTGTAAGGAGCTGCAACCATTAGACCATGTTCCACATGACATCTGAAGTAATAAATAATAATAAAATAAATTAAAAACAAAGATTAGTCCTCTATCAGCAGGACTCAGGAGGCATGGTGAAATAGGAGCACGCACTTACATCCTCGTGGGAATAACACGCAAATACATAGTCGAAACAACTAACATCACCGCATACATGAAACAATTTCTTACCCGAATCCGCTTGGTAAGTGGTGAGGCACGCCAGTCCGGGTCGTTATCAACGTCCTCAACTTCGTCCTCCTCATCAGTTGGTTCAACGTATTCCACTTTCTTCACCGTTTCAAGTGTCTTATTGCGTTTCTTGGCTTTGCAGCTGGCTGCACGTAGCTGGTCCAGCTCGTCGGAAAGTTTTTTCTAAGATAAAAAAAATATATAAGAGGAATTAGCCTTATGGTTTTAAGCAATTTTAACTGTGGACGAAGAAATTTTTAAGTACAGTGTAAACTCTTTATAACGCCATTCATTTTAACAAAATTTTCTCTTTATAACGCAACAGCCATTCTCTATAACAAAGAAATTTTTTCATTTTTTTTTTCATTTCATAGACATCAACAACATACTTAAGGGTAATTGTTTGTATAATCAACTTACAAAACTAAACTTTTGAGGTGCCGATTTTTCTAAGAAAGACACCTGACGTCATAAACAGCCGTCTCGCCTTTGTTATTGATTACATTGCCTATAGGAAATTTTGGTCTCAGTTACTAAACGCACTAACGTCACCTATTGTGTATTATCAAGTCGTAAACAAACTTAAAAAGTAAAAGAAAAGCGTTGTTTAAAATAATTTACCTATTGAGTAATAAAATTGGAATTATTGTAATTGGTTAAATTTGTATTTTTTTTTCTATTCCATCACTATAAGGGAACTATCTATTTGTTTGTACAGTGACAAAAAAAAGTCATATTATGTAAGTTTGATCTTAGATTCCGTATACATATATTTAGCGATAATCTTATTCTTGTATTTCTTCGTAGATCGTTATTTTTATTGAACTAAAAAATGTTTCCTAATAATAAACATGGCAAAACAACGTTTGCCGGGTCATCTAGTATTATTTATAATAAATTCTACAACACAACGGTAAAAACATTAAATTCGCTTACATTCTCCTGCTCCAGCAACTCCAGCTTATCTTGCTGGAACTGCAATACCGTTTGCAAATTGCGACACGCTTCCGTCCTGTCCCCACGGCCCATTACCCCGCGCTGAAACTCGAAGAGAGCGGAGAGCTGGAAGACCAATGTAATTATTAAATAAAGAATTTTAAAAATATCTGTTGACAATTTGTGCAGTTACATATAACCGAGACTGGGTATTAATTATGTGTATCAGATTTCACGTAACAAAATGTAAATACAATACTATGGTGTCGAATCAATGGCGTTGATACCAGCTGATAATTATAATTTAATAACATCAAAGTCAAATTAGTTTAAAACTGTTAAGTTGTTTATTTGAGTTGCCAATATTAATAGATCTACAAATTAACAGACTATTTAATAGTAACTTCAGTCATTATTATTAATGTCGGAGGTATGGCTTAAGTGTCAGCTGCCAAAATGTCATTATAATTTGATATCATCAAAGGCAAATTAGTTTAAAACTGTTAAGTTGTTTATTTGAGTTGCCAATATTAATAGATCTACAAATTAACAGACTATTTAATAGTAACTTCAGTCATTATTATTAATGTCAGAGGTATGGCTTAAGTGGCAGCTGCCAAAATGTCATTATAATTTAATATCATCAATGTCATATTAGTTCATAACTGTTAAGTGGTTTATTTGAACTGAACCCGAAACGACTACAGAGTTAAACGGCATATGTGTATACTGTATATGCGTCGGCTCCAGATAAAAGGAAAAGATATACAAATATTACCAACATAGCATTAAAAACTTTGATTGAGACATTATAAAGAAATCGAATATGCTAACAATTGCCGTCAACTAAATTATCTACACATGTAAAAAATATTAAATAAAAATAATAAAATAATTTTTTTCATTATTTTCTTCAAAACCTTGTACGAGTAATATTTTGGAATATTTTAATTTAAAAATGTAAGAACTTTTAACAATTATTTACACTATACTATACCGAAAAATACGTTTCTGTCATAAATACCTTTTCATCATTTTCAGCCTTGATACTCGCCAACTGCCGCTCAAACTCCGCTTCTCTATTCTCAAACTCCACTTTGAGACGATCGTAAGTGTCCTTGATCTCTTCGTATCGCGCCTGGAAGCCTTTCTCACTCTGGCTTTGGAGATCTCTCTTCGCATCAACGAGTAACTCGAAGAGGCATTTGAGAGCCACTTTGGCCTCAAGCATCGATTGGATCTTGTCCCATTGGGTGCGAGCTTTGTTTTCTAAAAAAAAATAATTGTATTTATTTATGTGTATTATTAGACCCCGTCCTGGTAGTGCGAGGTTAATTGTCTAAAAAAAATTAAGATTTTTATCTTTACAGAGTACCTTCGACATTTATATTGTTTAAATTAATTCCCGTATATCCTATACTCTGATTTTTAATACCGTAGAATTCTGACAGCTATCATTTTTGAAGTTATACATCTTTAGGCGCGTTATGAAAAATTTATGAGAGTGAAATTTTACGATGCGCGCGCACCGTGACACAAAATTAACAGAACATCTTCCGTGGGCAACTTCTGCCCACGGAAGATGCTCCGGCATTGGACATAATTTAAAGTCCATTTTCATCACAAACAGTAAAAAACGCACAAGTAAAGATAACATTCAAATTTTTTAAAAAGGTTTCCTAAACCTGGAATTGCCAGCTAAAGAATAAAATAAAGTAATGAAAGTTAATTCGATATATTGTTCGTGATATTGAAATATTTGCTTTTTGTATTAGGTCATTTGAGTAAGTAAATATTAGGATTTACCTTTTTGTAGATAAAACTTAAATACATAGCATTTTTTATAGCCCTCAAATGGGTTAAATTTGTCCCTTTTCGGTGGAGAACTTTTTAGTAGCAACATTTATGAAATGTCAGAATTTTACGGAATTAAAAATCAGAGTATGGAACTATTTTAATTAATTAAAGTAAATTAAATAATTAATAAATGTCAGTCAAAATATCATACTTAAACAGTAATTCACCAGTAATCAAACCGAGGAGAAAGCCTTCGAGGATGGATAAAGTATATTTGCCTACCTTGGTCAGCAGTAAGTATTTTTTGTTGCAGATCAGAAATCTGCGCTTTGCGTAAGGCCAAATCATCTTCTAGTTCCTCAAGCTTCTTGCTATTGGCCTCAGAGTCTGTACTATTGCGGATGAACTCGATTTGCTCAGTTATCCACGCTCTGGAGACAAAACACGTTTTTAGTCCAAATTTCTTATATAAATATCTTTATATATGTCACCGGAATATAAGAAAATCCGCAAGTTTATAAACTTTCGTAGGATTCTAATGAAAGATAAATTGTATTACTTTACGCCCACATTTTCGCAACTTGCGGATTTTGTTATATTCCCGTGACATATATAATTGTACTGTAAGTACGTGTGTATGTCACTGAACTCCTCTTAAACGAATGGACCGCTTTGAATGACTTTTTTTGTATGCGTTTGGGTGGTGCCCTGAATTTAGATCCAACTAAACAGCTGGTTTTTCAGGTACGAGTTTCGGATAGGTTAACTGGTAGAGCTGTTGGTGCGTAACAAACGATCTGGGTTCGATTCCCAGTCAGTCCTGCGATTCTGTAACTCACTTTTCGAACTCACACAGTCGTAAAATGACTGCTTCACGACTGATTTGAGCGCAACCGCCGCTGCGAAAACCGCTGTGTGAGTTCGAAAAGTGGGTTCGATTCCCAGTCTGAGCCGAATAATTTTTCGTTTGCCGAAAAAAGATCTCCACTGCGTAATGTCCTAAATTCGTCTTAATTGATGAATTTGTCATAAAATATGGCAAAAAAAATCGCCTGGCACCTAACCCATAAGAAAAGCTCACCGGTACTCCATCAGTTCCTCAAGCGATTTCTCGGCCTCCACAATACTGAGATGCATCTCCAGCTCTTGTTCAATATATTGTTGTACTGCGCCACTCTTAACATTTCCCTTTGCATTGCGTTTTATCGCCGTCAGTTTTTGGCGGTCTAGGGCTTCCTGAAAATTAAAAAAAAACACAGTTTAGGTTCTGCAATAGACAAAAAGATCAATTTTCTGAGTCACGCCAAGAAATACGCGCGTTGGCAGCATACATACACCAGCGCTTTGCAGTCTGTCGACGAGCGTTAGTAGTTATACTGTATACATCTGGCTCAGTTCGGAAAATCACCATAAATTTTCACTACCTTCTCCCAATTTTTAAATAAAGAAATCCGTATCAAAATGATTCGACAACGTGCCTACGTCCTATCTTTACGAAAGCGCGCGTTCGAATGTGTACACTTCAATCCTCGTACTTCTTAAGGTGGGAACTGACCAAAGTTACGAGGTGTAATGTAACACGTTACACAGCGAGCATACGTGCAGTCAGTACGGCGTGTTACGGGGAAACCAGCGAGCAACGAGCCGCTCGCTTTGAGTGCTCCACCCGGCGGTCGGTTTATCAGCGAATCCTTTGACTGTTACGCGGTTTAGTCAGTACGCGTCGCACGTCGCGAGTGATCATGATTATTACGCTTTCGCCGCCAGTGTTCACGAGATGGCCGACAGCGAGGACGTGTTGATATCTTTCATTCTATTTAATTATTGTTTCATCCAAATTAAGAAGAAAAAGAAGAAAAAATGTTACTGGACATCAATCTTATTTAAAAACACAGGCGTATGAGGTGGTTTGTTATTTATTGCAATATTAAAAAACCGAATGATTACTGGACAGTATAAAACCTTTGTACGCATGTCTCGATTTTGAAGAACTGTTGAATTTAATTGGACCAAAAGTACTTAAAAAAGACACAGTTTATAGAAAATCATAATCATGATCACTCGCGACGTGCGACGCGTACTGATTGAACCGCGTAACAGTCAAAGGATTCGCCGAAAAACCGACAGCCGGGTGGAGTACTCTAAGCGAGCAACGAGCGGCTCGTTGCTCGCTGGTTTCCCCGTAACACGACGTACTGACTGCACGAATGCTCGCTGTGTAACGTGTTACATTACACCTCGTAACGTTGGTTGGTTCCCACCTTAACACACTCGATGCGAATGCTACATTACACCTCGTAACTGGTCAGTTCCCACCTTTACAACGCGCGTTACTAAAGCGCGCGTATTGATACGCCTCATGTGTACTCGCTCACAGAGAGAAAACGCGTTAATTGAATATGATTTTATGATATTACTAGCTGCCCCCGCGAACTTCGTTTCTCCGGCATATATATGATTTTACTTAGCCTACATAAATGATATATTAATAAATAATGATTTTATCTATTTATTTATCGCACCTGAAACCTGTTAATATATAAGAGTATAATTATACCTTGAGTCTCTTATTAACAGCCACAGCTTCCTCCATCTTCCTCTTCAGCACATTCTGCTGTTTCGCGTGTAGAGACTCCATCTTGGCCATCGCAGTAACCCGTTTGCGATCTTCCGTCTTAAGGCGTAACATCGCCCGTTCGTTGTCTGCCTTCCATTTGCGGAACTTCTCGCTTTCTTCACGCATTTTACGAATTATTTGCACCTGTTTTATCATTTAAAAATCATATAGGATTTGTAAAGAATTTGTGATGGCGGAACACTTAGAAAGTAGCTTCAATATAACTATATTTACTGCAATTTATTCCCCCCTTTCTTGTCAGCAAAAGCAAGCAAAACTCTCAAAAATAATAGTACATAAACGATTTCGGTTTTTGTAGGAATCCTCGAAAATCCATTTCGTTTTCAAGCATAGACAAAGTATGGGTAATATGTGGAAAAAAGTAAATCATTACTGTTGATATAATCACTAAATAAGAAAATCAAAGACCCCCTTCCTACTATAGTGCTTACGTAATACTTGAACGGCCCCTTACACCAAAGTAGTAGTGCGCACCGCACGCGACAACGTATCTGCGTGCACGCACACCTGCGCGCGAAACGAGCAAGACCAGATTATGTGGTTGCGTGCGAGTGTCGATAAACAGATGTGGACGTAAGTTGTCGATAAATAGATGTGGATGTAAGTTGTCGATAAATAGATGTGGATGTAAGTTGTCGATAAATAGATGTGGATGTAAGTTGTCGATAAATAGATGTGGATGTAAGTTGTCGATAAATAGATGTGGATGTAAGTTGTCGATAAATATATGTGGATGTAAGTTGTCGATAAAAAGATGTCGATGTAAAGTGTCGATAAAAAGATGTCGATGTAAAGTGTCGATAAAAAGATGTCGATGTAAAGTGTCGATAAAAAGATGTCGATGTAAAGTGTCGATAAAAAGATGTCGATGTAAAGTGTCGATAAAAAGATGTCGATGTAAAGTGTCGATAAAAAGATGTCGATGTAAAGTGTCGATAAAAAGATGTCGATGTAAAGCGTAGATAAAGTTTCAATAAAATTAAAATAGATATGTAATGCTAGTTTATTTTTAAATATTAATATTATGCAAACCTTAACGTTGATTACAGTTATTTCTTTTCTTGCAAAGAAAATCAAATCAACAATTACCTTAGCAGCCTTCATGGCTTGTAGTTCCGTATTCAAAGACTTGATCTTGGCTTCGTTCTTCTGCGTCGTCTTGATGACGTTGGCTTGATGCTGGCATTTCTTCTTCAGCTCGGTGATCTCTGATTCCAACATCAACACTTGCTTGCGGGTCTCGTCATGGGATGGATCCTTGGTCTGAAAATATTATTTTAATTTTCAATCTGATTAAAGAATTATTAATATTAAAAATAATATAATAAAGCCTTTTTTATTTCCTGTTTTACAAAAGTTGGTAGTTGTTATATTAAAGTTACCAAAAATATTGATTTGTTAGTAGGTTAGCTTAAATTATGTTAGTAATATATATTTATAGGATTTATTTAACAGGAACCCCGGTTTGGGTAAAGGCCTCCTCCAAAGATGCCCATTGTTGTCGGTCCTGTGCTATGGAGTGCCAGTTTTTGCCAGCTGATCTTTTCAGATCATCTTCCCAGCGGTCTAAGGGTCTCCCCTTCCGCCTCTTGCCTGGTGGTCCTTTCCATTGGGTAACTCGTTTGGTCCACTTTCTGCTAGACATTCTTGCCACATGGCCAGCCCAATTCCATTTCAGTTTTCGGGCAAAAGTTAAAGCGTTTGTAACTTTAGTGACGGCTCTTATCTTTGTATGTCTTATTTTGTCCATTCTCTTTATATTCAACATGCTTCGCTCTAAACCTCTTTGACATACATTGATTTTATTCACAGCTTGTGTAGAGAATTTCCAGGTCTGGCTTCCATAAGTTAAGCTGGGTAGTAGACATGAGTTCATAACTTTAGCTTTGAGAGTTATTGGTAGGTTACTCTTAAATATTTCTTTTAGGCTCCAATATTTATTCCAGGTTTGTTGGACCCTTCTCTCTATTTCTATAATGTTACTGTTTTCCTCGAAACTTATTCTTTTTCCCAGGTAAGTATAATTTTCTACATACTCTAAAGGGTTACCATTGATAGTTATAGGTCTTTTTCGTGTATTACTCATTATCTTTGTCTTCGTTAGATTCATCTCCAAACCAACTTCCGCACTCACCTGTTGTAGAGATTCTATCATGAATTGCATCTCGTTGACTGTCTCTGACAGAAGGATCAGGTCGTCAGCGAACCTCAGGTGACTTAGGTAGGTGCCTTTTATACAGAGTCCTGTTTTACTCCAATCTAATTTGTTCATGATGTTTTCGAGTATTGCTATGAAAATAGTGGGTGAGAGCGGGTCCCCCTGTCTTACCCCTCTTTCTATATGGAAGGCGGGGCCTAAAGTTTCTAGCTTTATTCTTCCTTTGTTGTTATTGTATATGCTTTTAATCACCTTTATGTATTTATCTGGCACCTCTTGTTCTTTTAAGCTTTCCCATATACTTTTGTGTATGACTGAATCAAAAGCTTTTTGATAATCAACAAAAGTTATGTAAAGAGGTCTCTGAAATTCTTGATATTTCTCCATAACTAACTCTATGGTGTGTATGTGGTCGATAGTAGAGTACCCTTTTTCTGAAACCTGCCTGTTCTACAGATTGTTTTGCCTCTATTATCGGGCTTAGTCTATTATTTATAATGGATGCGAAAAGTTTGTATATATTTGGTAACAAACTGATTGGTCTGTAGTTGCTGATATTTTTTGGATCGCCTTTTTTATATATAAGAACGATATCTGCTTCAGACCATTCTATGGGCGTTTCAGAACTTAGAAGTATAGAATTAAACAGTTCAGTTAATGGTTCTGCCAAAATTTGATGACCATATTTTAGCGATTCATTTGTGATATTGTCAGATCCGGGACTTTTTTCGAATTTCAGCTTTTTTATTGAGTTTATTACTTCGGTTTTGTGAATTGGTTTTATAGAGTGGCAGTCTACAGTTTCTGTTTCGATTTTGTAAGTTGTTCGTGTTTTGTCTCTGTAAAGTTTCTTGTAGAAATCAGTTGCTGTATTCACAATATCCATTCGATTGTATAGGTCTTTATTAAGGGTTTTCAGTCCTTCTATCCAGGATTGTTTTGTTCTGAGTTCTTTATATGCTCTCTTTGAGCTGCCGTGAAGCTCAAGGTGTTTCTCTATTATTTCTTGCCTATATTTTGCATAGTCTCTCTTGATATATCTATTAACCAGTTTGTACAGTGCGGAGAGTTCATTTTTCAATGAGCGTGTTTTTTTTTTGTTTGTTGTAGTTCTTGTCTTCTTTTTAATAATTTTAGAGTACGGTCTTGTAATATTTTATGTTTTTTATTATCTTCTGTATTATGTTTCGCAAGGATCAAACTTTGTTGGATGGCCGTCTTTATTTTTACGTAGGAGGTCTGTACCGTTTTGTTCTCAAGGCTGATGGGTTGACCTGATGGCTCCAAGAGAAAGCTTGATAGGTTTTCTTTGTACTTTGTTATTTCATCCTTGTTTCTAAGTTGACTTGTTTTATTATTTGTAAAGTTGGTCCTATTTTTCTTCGGCGTTGTTAGCCTAATTTTACACCTTAGAGGACGGTGGTCTGATGCGTAGTTTAGGTTCAGAACTTCTATATTTTGAAACAATTTTGGGTGATTTGACAGTATATAGTCAATTTCGTTTTTATATTGACCGGCCGGAGAGCGCCATGTCCATCTTCTTTTGGCTTTTTTCTTGTAGAAGGTGTTTATAATAGCTAGTTTATTTTCCATCGCAAAGTCTATAAGTTTTTGCCCTCTATTGTTTCTTACTCCGTATCCGTAGTTCCTCATTATTGTGTGTTCGTCCATTTGTGGCTGTCCTATTTTTGCGTTAAAATCTCCCATTAGAATAAATTCTTCGTGTGCCATTTCCATGGCAGTATATATAGTTTTATAAAAACTGTCTATTTCCTCTTCATTAGCTTTTGTTGTTGGGGCGTAGACTTGTATTATAGTCAAATTTTTACCTGGTAGCTTCAAGTTCAGTAGAGCAACACGTTCCGAAATTCCAATATAGCTTTCTATATATTCTTTTAAACGTTTGTTTATTATGAAGCCCACTCCATATAGGCCCGGCGTTTGTCCAGTAAAGCAGAGAATGAATTTTTCATATTCATCTATTAAATTTCCAAGGCGTCGGACTTCCGAAATACCTATTATGTCGTACTTTACCCCTTCCAGCGCTTTCTCCATTTCCAATATTCTTTCGTATGACGAAAGCGTCCCGACGTTGTAAGTTACTATATAAAGATGGTGACCTTCTCTCGTTAACCCTTTCGTCGCTTGCTTTGCGTGGCATGATGAAGATGTCCTTGGAGGGTTTAGGTCATAATCTTCCACGGTGACCAGCCGGGTTGGAAGATTAGTTGGGGAAGTGTGTTTATTATAGTTTTGTTTATGCTTTTGTTTCCGATCGCCGGTATGTAATTGCTAGTTCTTAGTTTTTGTTGGGAGTGTTGAATACTCGTGAGATCGGCCTCTCATCACGTCGAATGCGTTTATTTTGTTGTTTCTAGACGAACTTAGTGTTTGCTGTTTTCTTGGTTGTAATTCTACTTGCGGAGAGTTTGATTTATCTCTCTTCCTCTTGTCTATGGCCCTTAAATTCTCTTTGACAATAAGTTTATCATATTTAATGAACGCTAAGTTTCCTTTCTGCCTTTCTTCCATTAGTTTGGGTTGCAAGGACTTCCGTATTTCCAAGGTTTCTTTTGAGTAGTCTTCTGTTATATATAACTCCTTTAATTTCTTTTTGTTCCCGATAATTTCTGCTCTTTTCAATCCACTAACTAAAGAAAGGAGGGTAGGCCTAGGTTTTCCATTATTATTTTTTATGCCAATACGGTAGATTTTATTTATTTCATAATTTTCTAAGGTTATACCTAGTTCATCCAAAAGACATTTTTTAATGCACTCGATTAAATCCCACGTTGACTGCTCTCTTTCCGGCAAACCGTGGATTATTATATTATTGCTTTTCCTTTCTCTTTCTAGATGCTCTATTTTCCTTTCCAGCTTTTCTACTTTACTTTTCAATATTTGGTTTTCTTCGAGAACAGGTCTTAGTTTTTCCTCCATTTTGTCAAGTATTGTGTTCGTTAGTTGGGTTGTTTGGTTCTGCATTTCCAACTTCATTTTGTCAAACAGTAGTTGGAATTGTTCTTCCATAATTTTGCGTATAATAAAGCGCAATCAATGTGTTTTGCCAATTATATTTATTTCCTACAGTTCTCCTTTATTTCTCTCCCTCCGTAAGAATATTTTGCGGAGCTGTAGTAATTGCAATGTTGGTACCAGACAGAGAAAGAAAAATAAAATAAAAAACAAAAACAAAAATATCAAAATCATAAAAATATTGTGGCCGCCCTGAGATTAGATCGTACGGTAATTCGGTATCAAACTTTTCCATGCAGCGTTCTGTTCAAATGCGCAACTATGTACATGTCGTTACTCGCGAATAACCTGTACGTATTCTCCGTATGGTTAGGTAGATCCGGTATGAGTCATTGTCTTCCTTTGTTCGAATAGTGAATCATCGGTTGTTGACGGCACTTTCGCTTCAAACGATAACGGATTTTTGATATTATAGACAGTCAATTTACTTGATTTTTTCGAAACTTAGACTAATAAATCCTTCACAAGCACTTTCACTGATACTATAAGCACTACTTTAAAGTTTATTGTACTCCGAATTCGCGAATATTCGTTTGTTATATTTTTAAAGATTTATTATAGCGGAGCACGACGTGACTGTGACGGACGCGGCGATCGGATCCCCATAAAGAATTATTAATATTAAAAAGGGCCTTCAATTGGTAGTTATTTTTAACATTTTCTAAAGGAATTGCAAGCATTCAATGATCTCGACGTCTAGCTTTTATTAGTAAGGATTTTTTCAGCGACAGCGAAATTTAATATCTATGTACGATCGGAGATCTTTAGCCGGTGTTACGTTCTAGTCTAAATTGCTAAATAATCAAATACAGAGCAATGACCTCTTAACTTTATCATCCCAAAAAAAAACCCAAATTCCGTTTGCAAAAACCAACCTAGAAATTCGGGTACCTTTCTTTCAAATTCTTCGCGATTATAACCGATTAAATACTACTTATCCTAACCATTAAAGAAAGCATTGTTAAGTGCCTATCTCGTATCTAATCCATTATGCTGGTATATTTTTTCTGCTTAACAAAAATTTCTGGTATTTATATTTTATCTTGTATATATTTTTTTTGTAACATATATAGTAGATTATAGACTAGAATATATGATAGTATTATATATGATGTGGTAAACTTGAATAAATAAAGGAATCTATATTAGTTTCTCAAATACGAACTCACCCTAGTATTCTTCAACTGTTGCAATAACTCATCTTTTTCCTTCTCCAATTTAGTGATTTTGTCCTCATTCTCTCGGAGATTGTCATGACTTTTTAACATATCCTGGTTACTTTTAAGAATTGTTTGCACCAAACTTGCTTTAAAGGCCATAGCTCGATTTAACTCTTGCAATTCTTGATTCAACGCCACCTATACACAGAACTTTTGTTAACAATAAATAATAGACCAAAGAACGTACATTAGAATTTTTGATCCACATATTAAGCTATCAATGGATAAGTTAGATCTCGGTTTGATGAGTTTAAATCATATGCAACTTTCAGTTAGTATTCGACAATGCCATGTACAGAATACTTTATTCACAAAAGTTGTTGATTGTTGATGTACAATGAGATTCAGTTTCAAAAAAACATTGTTTGTGTATTTAGGTAAAATTTAATATCTATGAGATAATTTAAGATTAAAAATCAGGCATCCAAAATCTATATACCATACTTATTACAAATTATTATTACTTTTGAATTTTAACTATTAAAAATACATTAAATTAACAATATACAAAAAATATTAATGTACTATCTCATTGCAAGAAACTTGGAAATGGGCAGACCACAACGCTTGCATAAACAATGGCAGATGGACAAACAGAGTAACAAGGTAGAAAGGCCCACCAGGGAAAAGAAAGAGAGGTTGCCCTCTTGCACGGTGAGCTGACGAGCCTAAAATTGGTAGGGAAGATCGGCAGAAACATTCTCAAGAGACCTCTATGAGATTCTTGAAAAAAGCTATTTGCTATTTTTGTATATAATTAGAAGCGTCTGTATGTTTTGTAAATACTTCATTATGAATAAATGAGGCTCGATTAGTACATTAAAATTGATAATGTTTAAAATATCTAAACGAAACTGTCAAATATAAAGTCATACCTGTCCCATAGCCCGCTTCTCCTCCTCAATCGCGGCCTGATCTTCTGTCATCACTTCTTCAACACTATTATCGCCACTTTCCTTTATATACGACAATTTAATATCATGATCGATCATTTCTTCGTTGGTCTGTTTATTCAAAGTCTGCATATCTTCTAATCGCGTCTTAATCTCCTTCAAGTAGTCCATTACACTTGTCTTCTGTAAGTCATCTTCTTCTTTCTCCATCGTCAGATTTTCTATAGTCTGATTGCATTGTTCCGTTAGTTCGTTTAACTTTCTTTCAATTTTGTCCTTCGCCGCTTCAGCCAAAAGGGCCTTTTCGCATAAATTCGTGTTTTCAATGAGAATGTTCCCCAAATGTTCTGTAATTTGTTTGTTCTTTTTCAACAACTCTTGGTATTTGGCTCTCTCTCTTTCCAACTCTTCTTGTAATTGTTCATTGTTTTGTTCACTTAGTGATGGGAGTTTACCAAGGAGTTGCAGTCTGAGGTCGTTTACTAAATTGTTAAGGCTGAAATATTAAAAAAAGACTTAATGACCCTAAGCTGAGTAATAAGCGAAGTAAAAAATAGTGGCGGAGAGTTTATTGCTAGTTCTTCTCTTCCGTTCTACGCCCTTGATTCGAGAACTGGCAGTAAATGTAAAATTATGATTTTAATTCATACATTTTTTTTGACGTTCATAAGTGTACATTGTGTTACCTATATGAATAAATGATATTGAATTTTGAGTAAACATTTGTTTAAAAAAACTTCAGAATAATGCGCACAAATTTATCAGTCTATCTTTTGTAAATAATATTTTCGTAGGAAAAACAAAAAACCCATTCCTAATTCGCATTTGTACCTTGTACCATTAACACATTTCTAAATGACCACAGATTATAGACTTACCGAACAATCTCAGCGGCCTTAGCGTCCTGGTTAATAACGGGCTTGTTGCGTATACGCCTTGCGCGGTCAGCGTACCTCAGCGTAGAAACCGTCTCATCCAAATTAAAGTCCGCTGGACTCACACACGCTACCATTAAGGTTAGGGAATTACCGCCAAGACTGTCTGTAATTATTTATAACTTTACTAGCTGACCGGGCAAACGTCGTTTTGCCATGTATATATATCATTTATAATAAAAAATAGGGGTTGATCGTAGTTAAAACAGAAAAAAAAAACTTAAAAATAAACAAATATATTTAGGGGTGGACTACCCTTAACATTTAGGGGGATGAAAAATAGATGTTGTCCGATTCTCAGACATACCTAATATACACACAAAATTTCATGAGAATCGGTCAAGCCGTTTGGGAGAATTTTATATATTAGATTACTTTTACGATGTACATTTCTGAGGGTTTAAGACAATATATGTGTTTATTATAGTTTTTGCTTATGCGTTGCTTTATAGCAAACATTACATGACTTGGACTCAAGCAAGAAATCGACAGATAATTTTAAATTATCGTATAATAATTTAACCTGTTTTAAAACTTTGGATTTCAATCCAAAGTTGACACTCTTGATTTTTATAAGTCTTAACTTTAACGAAACAGAAAAAAAATATTACTGTTATATAATAAGAGATATAAAAAATATATATATCTCGATAAATTACTTTATTAAGAGAGTTATGTAACCTAACTTTAGTTAAGTTACATATAAATATTTAAGGTAATATGTAATTAGAAGCGTAAACCAAATGTAAACAACAGTCATCGCACTCTTGAAGCCAATATTGAGCCCTTTAGTTTTTACCACACTTATAAATGGTATTTTAACATTCTCGTCTCCGATAATGTACAATAACATAAGTGTCATTTAGATTTATTAACCTGTTAATTTAGTTTGTTTTTGTTAGCGTCACAACCCCTCTTCCCCTAATTTTGTGTTAGTTATAAGCTCATGTTTGGAACCATTAAAGTCAATTGTTACCCAGCTTCCAACAAAGAGTTTTATTTAAACATCTGCATACAACAACCCAACCCGAACTTACGATGTAAGAATCCTTAACAACACCAAATTTCAAAGCTTATTTCACGATTGGAATTCTACATTACATGACACAGGCTATATATTATATCCAAAATAGTATTATTTAAATAATAACAAATTACTCACCCTGTAGAAGCCGCGTAAGCTTGCTGTCTCTGTAGCTAATAAAACTCCTATTGGTGCCATCCCCCAATGCAGAGATCACATTACCAAGAGCCAATAAGCCCTGGTTAATTTTGACTCCTTCCTTAAGTCGCTCCCCACTAGCCTTCGTCTTCTTTATGCGCTCGGAACCAGCCAAGTCGACTAAGTGGAACTTAGACGATGTTGCAAGGTTTCTATAATATATTACGATATTTTTTTGTTAATTTTCCATGTGAAATGTTTGTTAAAATTTAGAAAGATCCAAACAAATGAATAGAGAATAGAAAAGATGGCATAGTTACTTTATGAGGGTAGATAATAATAACTTGCTTTTATTGAGGGTATTTATATATTGTCCTTGTAATAATACGTTTCTTATAAGACAAGGATTGGCAAGTGAACTTTCTATAGAGAAACTTATAAATCTAAGCAAATTTACGGTGGGTAACACAGAATTCACAACACAATATATTTTAATGGAAAAAAATAGTAAGCATTTTGTGCACAACAATTTTTTAAGAAAACCCTTAAACACCAGTCATAAATGCATTTATGAGAACTTTCTATTTTATTGAAAATCGTTTCGATAGAAAATTAACAGACATGAAAAACCAGTGGCGCTACAACTTTTAGTATTGACCTGAGATTTCCTGTTTCGTGGATTTCTCACTTCCATGAGGTATGCTGGTTTTCTCACATATTTTCCTTCACTGTAAGAGTTTAAGTAATGCACAGTGCACAACCGAGATTCAAAAACACGACCTCAATATTCCTACACTCAAGCGCTCACTGCTTATGAAATATCAAAGACATTTATGTTTATTAGATTGTTAATTTTTCAACGGTACTTACTTATCGCTTCGACTCTCCTTTAAGATGGTAATAGTGAATACAGCATGACTTCGACTGGAAGCCTGGTTCATAGCAGTGGAACCTGTCACACGGCCCGATGAACCTCTCTCTAGCGCCAACATTGTTTCAGCCGTTGATGAGACTGGCACTTCTGTTATACCTATAAAATATATTTTTATACATATACAAGTCCAGACTAGAGATGGAACCGATGTTGTTTTTATCCAATAATGTCTCAGTGAAGACAGTTAAAAAAAAATTATGTGAGACATGGGAGACGAAATGTCGGTATACAGTGTAAGCTGATTATAAAAAAAATTACATTTAAGTATTTTGTTGATGTCTCAATATGAAAATATTACTTCTTTATAGAGAATGGCTGTTGCATTATAAAGAGTGAATTAATGTATGGTATTTAAAAAAATAAAAAATTTATGGTTGTCCAAAACTGAAAGCAGTATTGGCCTAGCAGCTCTAATCCCTAAAGCTCTCTTTGAACATACCGGACTATTCTTTCTAAGTGCGCAATTAATGCTAGCTAGAACCGTGTAGCAAAACATTGTGAGGAAAGCGGCATTTTCAGATCTAAAAATCGACGGCGTGAGTCAGGCACAGCTGATCTATCTACTTTCATATTCGTTTATGAAGTCCTATTATTTGTTAGTGCCTATAGTAGTTCGTTAAATTTTGTTTGTTATTTTGTTTTTCTTATTACTAGTTTCTTGTTTTTTATTTTTGTTTCGTCTGTAACTTTTACTCATTTGTAGTGCACTCTTGACAGGTCACTTGTTAGGACAGGAGTGTTTAACAAAACAAAAAAACGTGTGGCACTTGGGGACTGCCGCGGTATAGCTATAGCATTTTTTATCAACTTATGCAATTATAAATATTTATTTATGTTGTATTTTTGGAGTTTACTCCTTAAGAAACGATTTAAGTTATAAGGCCCGGTACGGAAATTTTATGAGTAAAATCAAGTGTAACACGAAAAGTTGAGGCGTTATGTAGAAAGAGACAAACATATGTATCTGTAGGATTGAACGTGTAAAAGAATGAGATGGAATACATTACAGACTTTTCTATTTTGAATTCACGTTTTGACAGCCACGGTACAACATTGTCAGTGTTGACAGGTGTAAAAAATAAAAGTAGATAGTCTAGCGTGCCATAGCGTTTTGTCAATAGTAATGATCAGTGAAATTAAAACTAAAAAGATTGTTCATTCTTATTCTTCTCTTACTATGTAGGTACGTTTTATTACTACTACAAACATTTATATTATAAAAACATATATTCTTACCACCTCTAGTATGAAAATATGGTCGACAGCCACAGAACATTATCGCCATTTTATCGTTCGTAAGGAGTAAACTCCAATCGTGCGTCGTAGCTGACACACACACACTTTTTTTTCTTTGATATTAATTCAATCTACCACTCTACCAGACTCAGACTAACACGCCTATAAAGTCTGTCTCACTCTAACGCGTACCGGCGGCACCGGATGCGCTTACGGTACGTCACCGATCACGCCAGACCGATGTGAGACGCAGTATGCGTTCTGTCCCGCTCTAACGCGTATTCGCCGCACCTATATTACGTCATCGTGTGTTAGGTTTTTATTTTCAATACGGAATTTCTTTATTATCACGATACAGAAACACAATTAGTGCTTTCAATTAGATTATACTATTTAAAACTAACAGCAGCTAGCAATAAACTTTTTCAATAATGACATACCTGGCAAGATCACACCCTTATTAACATCTTCTCGAATCTCAATAATACTGTGACCTCTCTCTTTCCCAGACAGTAAATCAAAGCATTGCTCTTGATATAATTCCATAAATGATACAGATACTTTAAATATAAATTGGTCTTCATGTGTTTCTATAAAATCAAATATATCAGCAACAGCCTGAGGAATAACACCTGAAAAAATAGTATTTAATGTTTAAATAAGCCAATATTAAGGTAAAGTTTTAAGTACAGACATATTTTAAATTAATCGGTAAAGTGACGGATTTGATAGAAACATGTGATTTTTCTAGAAAACTGTGTAATGTAATGTTATTATATTTTATTTTGTTTCAAAACAATGCCAATTTTCATAATAACAGAATATGAATTAAAATAGTTATGACAGAAACTAACATGATTATATTAGGTCCTTACATATGAAATTGGCGTATTTCGTACTGGCCACTTTAATCACGATGTTCTCCTCTTTGGTAAGGAATTCCAAATTCAAATTTGTACAGCTATTTACTCATGTATTTGTAATTCGATGACAGTCATTCATTTTTTTTCTGTTTGCGTCACTCATTTTACAAAATGGAAAACTTAAAGTATCGCATTATTTACGAGTACGAGTTCCGCCGTGGCACTAGTGCTGCAGAAACGACTCGAAGGGTGAATGATGTGTATGGCGGTCATGTTGCAAAAGAAAACACAGTTCGTTTTTGGTTCCAACGTTTTCGTTTTGGAAATTTCGACCTGCAGAACAAGCCCCGTGGACGGCCTGAGACCCAAGTTGATAATGAAGTATTGAAGGCTATTGTGGAAGCGGATCCATCGCAAACCACGTCCGAGTTAGCTGCAGGCTGCGGTTTTAGTGATAAAACTGTTTTAATTCACTTGAAGCAAATTGGGAAGATTAAAAAGCTTGAAAGATGGGTACCTCACGAATTGACTGAAGCAAACCGGCAAACGCGCGCCGACTGCTGCGTTACAATTCTGAACCGGCACAATAATGAAGGTATTTTAAACCGAATCATTACCTGTGATGAAAAATGTACTCTTTACGATAATCGGAAGCGCTCAGCGCAATGGTTGGATCCTGGCCAGCCAGCCAAATCCTACCCCAAGCGAAAATTAACCCCAAAAAAGTTACTTGTAAGCGTTTGGTGGACTAGTGCCGGTATTGTTCATTGCAGTTTTCTCAAATCTGGCCAGACTATTACGGCTGATGTCTATTGTCAGCAATTGCAAACCATGATGGAAAAGCTAGCGGCTAAACAACCTAGGCTGGTCAATCGCTCCACGCCACTGCTACTTCACGACATCGCTAAACCACACACTGCACAACAGATGGCTACCAAATTAGAAGAGCTTCAATTGGGATGTCTAAGACATCCTCCGTACTCCCCGGACCTTGCTTGCTTGAAAAGATTACCATTTTTTTCAAAATTTGGACAACTTCTTGCAAGGGAAAAAATTTAACTCTGATGGGGCAGTCCAAATCGCCTTCACAGATTTTATTGATTCCCGTCCGACTGGTTTTTTTAGTAAAGGGATCAATGAACTACCTCTGAGATGGCAAAAGTGCATAGAAAACAATGGTTCATACTTTGATTAATTAAATATATTATATTTAAAAATATTAGACTTTTGTTCCTCCCATACAAAACGCCAATTTCATATGTAAGGACCTAATATTATTTTGAAATGGCTGCCCTGTAAAGTTTACTATTTGTCAGAACCGTCACTGTTCTACGACTATGACGATATGTATGGACTTTATAGTTTTATACAGAGAGCAGAGGAAAAATAAAAAAATTACCTAATTTTGTTGAGTCCCCAAATGATCCAGAATAATTGGTCCCCATTGTATATGTCTTCCCTGATCCAGTTTGCCCATAAGCAAGAATTGTAACATTGTAACCTGAAATGATTGTGTTTATAACAGCTACACATCCATACACAATAAAGTCTTTATTCAGTGTGTGACTGTCTTAAAGAGCATAATACGAGAAATAGGCAGGGAGTCGATAAAAAGCTTACTTACAATTTGCATAGTGCCTTTAATTACTATGCACCTCACTTTAACACACCAATAAAAATTACCATGTTAAATTAAAGATAAGACTAATATTATAAATAGGATTTAGAGAATGACTAGGTAATTCGGAATGGATTGATTATAACAAAAATAACTAATAATCAAAGAATATGTGATATACATTATTCAATGTTCCTGCCAGATCTCTATACTCGCACAGAACCCTTAACCGTCTGACTCCCAGAACCAATATTGGGTTCCGCGAACCTCTTCACAGAATATTTTCTTCTTTGGATTCTGCCACTAGTATCGACCTTTTATTGCAGTCCTCTACTGTTTCATTTAAGCATAAGTTAAAACAACTATTAATGTCCTAAGCCTTGTATCTTTCTTCTTTATTATAGCTACCAGTATATTTCTCGTTGTCCTGATTTAGAAATTTTGATTTGTATTGTCTACTTAGTTAACATTCTGCTGTCATGTTTTGCTATGTATCATATTTTTTATCAGTTAAACTCTTTGTGAATATATTCAATGTGTTAATTTTATGTTTTATTTTTTACTTTTTATTTTATAGAGATGTATCTGTTTTGTGTCCTAAATAAATAAATGCATGGAATTGAAATGTTATTCGCATGCAGTCTAGCTATTATAAAATAAGTTTGATGCGTACATACCTTGAAATAACTTTCCAATTAAACCCTTAACTGATGTGTCATAGAATTCTTGTTGTGTTATATGTTGTGGAAAAACAAAATTATATGTAAATGCTAAATCTTTAATAGTAACTTGTGGGGTTCCATTTATCATTTCAATGCATTCAACGCAGCCTCTTTCAATCTCTTGTTCCATTAAAGGCCTGATTCTTAAAGCTACTTGTACAGTGTCTATTGTACATTTATTGGAATCCCCGTCCACCATTTTGAGTTATTAATTATAAACCCAATAAATAAAATATGATCAGTATTATGGTAAAATTATTTATGAAATTATTGTCAAGATTAAGCCACATTTAACACATTGTTAAGTATCCTTCCTGAAATGTTTTTTAAATTATGATTAAAAAGTTTTATTTCTTTAGCATTCAAATTGGAATCGGAAAGTGTCATTATCATAAAGAACGTTCTGTTCATTTAAAAACATACAAAGGCAAATAAATGATTTCAGTTACTTTAAGATGTAACTTGTATGTTTAATCGGAATTCTTCACCGATAGAAATTAGAAAGTAGGAAGATAACAATGTTTTATTTAATAAACGAACATCGAAATAAAGTTAAAACATTATTACATCTGCTAGAAACTAAATCACATCCAAGAAAGAATTTTTTTTTCGACATATAGTTTAGAACCACACAAGTTAGAACGCTATATCCTTACCTCTATAGATTTAGAATGTGAAAATGTCTGGAAAACACTTGAAACAGTTTTTTTAATAACTAAAGTTATATAAGGCGGCAATTACAATTACTAAAGAAACATCAACGGGTAACGGCCAGCCAAAATTTTCAGAACTTAATTTTTGAAATAAACGGCTGGCTAATGCTGGCCGGTAAGTACCACAGATCACATCTTTATAGTTTATTAATACGTATAAGCATAGAGCTCAAAGTTGAGATATACATCTCGAATCTTGAACATCATATCATGTTAATGTTTCTGCATGTGTAATTTCTATTTGCAAAACCTATAGTACTAAAAAAAGTAAACCTATTTTTTATATCTAAGTCAAAAATGTGTGTGACCATTTTTGTCACAATTACCTATTCAATAAAAAAAAATGGTGCGTGTACTTATGTACGCGCGTAAGAAGTTATACTTCTTTGGCATTACTAAAAATAGTTTTTGATTGCATGCAAATAATTAATTACAATTATAGTATTGTCTTTGATTTACATAACCTTTACATTTAAAGAAAAAACTGTTTAAACAGTTTTTTCTTTAATTACAATTAAATAATCAAAGACTGGAAAAGGAGGCATTATAGTCAATAAAGTTCAGTTTACATTTGAAAAATTAATTAAATAAATCGTCTTACATTAGGTGTAACATAAATTCTATTATTATTCGAATGTTGTTTTTAAATTATTTCCAATGGCGTAGCATCTTCCGTGGGCAACTTCATTCCGTTAATTTTGAGTCACGGTGCGCGCGCGTCGTAAAATTTCACTCTCATCAATTTTTCATAACGCGCCTAAAGGCCGATTTACATTATCTTAGTGTTTAGGAGTGTGCTTTAGTACAACTTGAAAGGCAAGTTCTTTAGTGCTTTAGTGCGTTGCGAGTGAACGTTTACATTTCTTCCAGTAGAGTATCATTACAGCGCCACAATGAACGCGCAACGACGTCGGCAAATACGCTCTATTCTACGCAAAATACTAACTGTAGTTATGGAACAAATAGAAGACGAGATTTTATTCGAAATAAATAAACTAAATATAAATAATAAACAAAATAGCTTCTTTTAAGGCAGTGTATGCCGAATGCCTAGCCGGTTTGTTTTTGTATAAATTGTTTTTAACGTTCCACAAACATTCGTGAACAACATATTCAGACACAAATTTTATAGTTGTATCTTCCGACCATTTAGCCATCTTTAAAAATCAAAAAACACGCACGCGTTTCACGGCACTTATGCACTCTCCTAAAGATTTGACTAAATTACGTGTTTAGGTTTACACACAACGAGGGAAGATCTCGGGGGGTGCGCGGGCGCGAGAGGGGTATCACTTGAAACAAAAATAAAAAGCGATTCTATTTTGATTCAACTTGAAAGTCAAGTAGAACCGTACTAAAGCAAGAAGCGTTTACATGTTTCAACTAAAGTACTATCCTAAAGCACTCTCCTAAACACTAAGATAATGTAAATCGGCCTTAAAGAAGTATAATTTCAAAAATTTTAAAAATTTCCATCGAAATATAGTATATCGCCACAGCCTTACTCTAGCAAACTTTGAGATTGCCCGACTTAGTCTATGACCTATGTCTATGATACCATTAATCAGTAATCTGTGGTCTTTAACTTTTTACCCGCTACTGTATAACTTATTACTTACTATTTCTATTGTGAATTGTGATATTGTCTTATGTTTTGTCCTATACTAAATTGTCTCTATAGACTTGGTTGTTGTTTTCAGTTTTTGTGGAAGTTGATAAATATTTGGTGATATCTAAAATAGTAATTGTATTTTACATTGATTTCGTGATAAACTAACACTATCACAGAAATTCAGTTAAGTAAGTAATCCTTGCATTATTGTTGTAGCGAATGGAACCATTTTTGGTGTCAAATTATGCCGCCAAAAACCAGAGGAAGTAAAACACTAAAAATATCTAAAGAAAATGTGGGGCTTACGAATAGAGTTAAACTTAAAGCGTTAGAAAATACAAAAAAGCCTCAAAGAAAAGTGCTATCTGATAAAACAAACTCTGCTTCGGATGACAATGCCAATTCGTCCCCATTAAAGAATGTTGAGACCTACAAATTTGAAGAAACTGAACTAAGAAAGCCTCGACGCAAAAGAAAACTTCCAGCGAGATATCACGAAAACCAAGCTTTGGTTAGTCTATGTAACAGCAACAATGAACAAATTTCTCCTACACCAAAACCTGTCAAGTCAAAGACTAAGACAAAATTACCTATTAAAAAAGATATACAAAAATCCCCTCTTAAAACCACCTCAAAAATATTACCAAATAGCATATTAAAATCACGTCCAAAAAGAGTTTGTAGGATACCATCAAATTTAGAAGGTCACTCAGTTAGCCCATTCAAATATATTCCATTGCAACCAGTGAGTACCAGTACACCTGTTGCAAATAAAACTATTAAAAATACTGCTAAAAATAAAAACACTTCACTTGTAAAAACACCCAGTCCTGTATTAAACAATGTTAGAAAACAACCCATACCAAAACTGAATAAAAAGAAAAATGCCGCTTCTGCAGCTGATACTAATAACAATGGAAAGAAGCAACAACAGATTGATAAATGTTTTGAAAAACAAATACAGTCTGGTAAATCTAAAAAGATTCCATCAAATTCTTTCAGAGTATTTGATGACATTAAAAAGTCTCAAAAAAGAAATTCAGTTAAGAATGATCCATATGAGTTTACATTTGACCCAGATGAGGAACCACCTCAGAAAAAAAAGAAGAAGCGTCTTGCTAAGCCAAGACAGCCAAAACCTAAAACAGCCATTAAGGGTGCTTATGAGAAAAATTTAGCTAAAGCTTTAGCTACTTTAAAGAATACTTTGGCAATGAAGACTCCATCTGGTAGAGATGTGCAAGTACTTAATTCACAAAATGTAATTAATATTAATAATGGTAGTGATAAAAAAAATGATGCTATTTTAAAAGCTCAAGTAAATGAGATAAACAATGGTATCCCATGTGCAAATAATTATAATTCTGTAAGAATTGAAGATATTGCAATGGACTTACAAGAGCACGATCACACTTTAGACTATTCACCTGTTAATTCACCACAACATAGTGTACCCATGGTAGTGGCAGAAAATGTGTCAGCAAATAAAAAGGATCCTTTGAATCTGAGAGATAGTTTAAGTTTCTTCGATGATCAGCCTATAGCCAGTAGTAGTATGAATGCATCAATTAGACATCCCACTGCTAGTCCTTGGAGAATAGAATTTGGTAGCTTACCAATAAAATGGCCAGTTAATACCTATGTTAAGCCAAATATGACACCAGCTGTTGAAAGTTCTTACATAAACTTTAATGATTCAAAAAATAAGCATGTTTATACAAACATTGTACCTATAAATGACACATTGCCACAGGAAACAAGCCTCAAACAAACAAGCATTATTTCATTTATAAAGGAAGTTGCTGAACGAAATGCTAAGAAGAAAATGAAGTCAACTCCAGTTAAATCAAATTCATTGTTTGAAGATATCTCTAATAAATCTTTCAATGTGAGTCCAACAAAAAGTGCATCAAAGAATAATTCAAAAGAAAGTAATTCTGGTCATATTGATGTCATTGATGAGAATGTAGATAATTCAATAATGAAAACACCAGAAAAAAGTAATTCTACAACATGTGGAACATTCTTTGGTTTTGATGACACTGAGGAAGATCAGGAGAATGTTTCTCCTCTTAAAAAAGACAAGAGACGAGCATTAAGACCACGATCAAAGGCCATTTTGCAGGAAATTAATAATGTAAATGGACCATCCAGGGCTATCATACCAGTTTCAGTGAAATCTAAGCTATTACTTAATTCAGATCCTTTGAATAATGATTTTGAAGATCCTAAATTGGGGCTAGAGCCGCCACTATTTCCTGAAAAGGAAACTCATGTTAATGGTGAAAAAACTAATTTAAATGTTGAAGATGATGACTCAAATTCTGTTCATTTGTTTGAAGATATTGATCTTATTCATCATTACCACCAGGTAATATATTATGACTTGCTTTAAGATTATTGATATAAGGTAATTCTTATTAATTAATTAGTAAGAATTAAAGTATAATATACAGATTACAGATATACTGTAATATACAGAGTGAACATATGAAGTGTCTTTATGAGCTGTACATTGTACTATTTCAACAAAATATAATTATCAGATTCATTGTTACACACACTAAATATGTAAATTTAACTTAGCTTGACATATAAAACAACAATAAAATCATTGCTTAAGTAGTAACCTAAAATTCTAAGTATAATATTGTAATAATATGTCAAATGTTATGTTTATAATTTCAGCCACCTCGAAAAAGTTATGGAAAAGCAAAAAAAGTGACATTCCGTCAGAATTCTGCCACAGATAGTGATGTTTCTAATGACGAGGAGCCGGTCTCCGACAAAGAAGATAATCTTGATGATTTATCATTTAAGTTACCCAGCACTAAGCTGAAAAGGGTTCATAAGAAAAAGTTAACAAAGAAGCAAAAAATTTCAAAAAAAGAGGTAAATAGTCCTTTTTAACCAACTTAAAATTATAATATGCTTTCAAAGGTGATTAAATTTTTAAAAGCAAGATGCCTTTATAGCGTGGCAGAGTATTTAGACCATAAGCTTTAACAAAAATTATAAATAACTTAACTGTTATTATTATGACATCATGATAATATGACATTTGAATGCCTATCTTTATATGGCTGACTGTTTTTTTTGATAATCAATCAATCTGAATGTACCACTTTTGCAAGTAAACAATTTCTTATTATTTTTAAAAGAAAATTCGATCTCTATCTATAACCATTAATTCTTATTTATTGGCCTGTGTAGATTATATGATTTATTTAAAATGTAAATAAAATTAAAAATACCTTGGAAATATAATAATAATAAATGTTCTTACAGGAGCAGGAATTGGAAAACTGGGCTACTGGATTCAACTCAATGTGTGATGATGTTGAAGAATTTGATCTGATAGTTGAATAGTCTTAATAAGCTATAAGGCTTTAAGCTTTATATTAAAAATATAGCACTTAAGATTGAATTATGGTTTGGTTGTCATAAACATACTATGATCCTCAAATAATTAAATGTTTAATAATAATTATTATGTTGTAGCTATTGGAAGGTAATAGTATTTTTAGGTTTACTATATATAATTTTTTACACCAACAATCTAAGAAAATGTTCTATAGATTTTATTTGAATTATGGGATCATTAATAAGATTAAGTTTAACTTATTTACTAAGCGAGGGACCAATTATTAATAAGTGCAATTTAACTGGAATCAATTATTTTTATCATGGCGTCATGGTATCATTTTTAATTCATAAAATTATAAACTGAACTAAAATACTCTGTTGGCCGAGTTAAATTATAAAATCACAAAGTTAATTTTTTGTTTGGATAATATGAATTGCCATATGATTATGCCATTTTTTAGGTTTATTTTAATTTCAGATAAAGGCTAATTTTAACTAAGACGTAGATGCTACGTCATTTATTTATTTGACTTTTTTTCTTAGTTCTAAATATAATTAAGAATACTCGTGAATTTTATTTTAGACATAATATGCTTCAGATTAGAATATGTTTGTTTTTAAAAGATTTTTGTAAATAGCTATAACTATTTTATTTGCTTGACAAACATTTATTTTAAGTTTTAAATGATTGAAATTATTATGAGAATTAAGGTATGTAACTTGGGAATTTAATAAATATTTTTAGTAAACAGTGGTATTTATTTACTTAAAAACTGGTTGATAAATCATGCAATTTACTATAGCGCCATCTGTTGCGTCAAATTGAGATTCAGTAATGAATCCTTCACCAGCCATATGCTCAAATCAAAGAATGTTTCACATAAACGAACAAAGTGTCAAACTTTTAATTTCGGCATTGTATTTAAAGAAAAATCAGCAAGGTCTAGTTTTTTTTTTTAATATTATGGCAACAGCTTCAACTTTATGCCAGTTTCAAGTAAAAACAAGGTCTAGTTTAGAGCTACCGGAAGAGCATTATTAACTTTGTTGTATGTGTCACTAAAAAACTAGATGGCGCGAATATTAATTTTACAAAACTTTTCATAAAAATATATAGATGGCGCTGCAAGTACTGCTGCAGGCCAGGCGAACCAACGTTCTCTGTAAAATTGGACATGAATAATAGTAATGAACGTTTTCGTATGCGTCAAGAGTCACGAATCCATATTTTTGGTTGTCTTTATTATTAGATTTTTGGTATTGCTATGTGTTTAGTAAGCATTTAATTTGTAATTACAGTAGGCCATCGGCGTTAAGCCTGTAAACAGTAGTTTTAAATATCTATCTCAAAAAACATTTAACACAAATTTGATGGGACTGGGACAGTTCCTTCAGTTAGAATATACCTTAAGCAAATATTTCTATTAGTTTCCGAGAAATTAGTGGTCACTTATGAATTGTAGCTCTCTTGGAAGTTTTATAAGTAGTTATATAGATAATACATAATAATAATAAAGCCACTTCAATTCCATACTATAAAAATTACAAATCAGACGGGTGTTAGTTTTGTTATTATACACTTAGTCTATGATAGTTATTGTTAATTTCATTGCCTACTTCTTATCGAATTCCTGCAGTACCTATAGACCTCTTTTGGGTAAACGCCTCCTCTTTAATTTTACATTTGGACCTGTTCGTTGTTTCCACGCATGGACCATTTCTCCCCAGAAATCCGTATAAATTATAATGTCATCAGCCCAGCGCTTTTGTGTCTTTCCATGTTTCTTTTCTGATTTCTCTAGTCCCCAGCTGGGGGCTTCGACGGGCCTTCCTTGCAATATGATAATTAAAATAATACATACTCAATTAATACACGCAGATCAAAGAGATACTCCCTTCTTTGAAGTCAGTTAAAAGTATACATGGATTATTCGGATCAAATGTATAATAAAATAATGTATAATATATGTTATACTTTCGAAAGTATTTTTGTATATATTGAAAGGAGAATAATTGTTTAAATCAATATTTTACGTTACACGTTGTGATTGCGAGTTGTTTAGTTTAATTTTCATATCTAAGTGTAAAAATGTATATAAAACTGATAAATATATTTAGCTACCCGAGACCTCCTTAGTATTAGAATAGATAGCACTGAATATGAATTTGTTCCCACCAAAATTTATCGAAATATTATATTCAGAACTAGAGAAGCGCTCTGCAAAAAATCTGTAGGAATATCATTCATTTGTTGGCTCGCCTGGCGTACCTAAAAGGTTGGAAAGTACAAAATTTATGATTTAGATCCTATATGGATTATTATTCTTAAATATTATTGGAGTAAACGCGTTTTAATTTTTAAACATAGTAGTTTGTTTAAACTAGATAATTGTGTTTCGCAGGGCAAATAGCTAAATCTACTGTCCATATTGTGGGTTACGATACGATTGTACAAATTACAGACATACCTACAAGGTGTGTTGTTGTCTTTCCCTAAATTGAATTAAGTATAAGATTTCATTAGCAGAATAACATCACAGCATACAATAGAAACGTTTATAAAAGGAAGGAAAAGTTTCTAATTCATCCCGCAAAAGCTTAATTAAAATTGAAAAACGTAATCCATAAAACAAAGAGTATCCGGCTGGGCCCTAATGTGATGCCTGACGATATTAAAATGATTGCTCTTTGGCAAATATGGTGGGCGGCTGAATTATACAGCAAAAGCAAATATTACCCTCGCAAACATTCGTCCCGAGAGAGCTAGCTAGTTCGCGCACTCAAAATTAAAAGCACACAATGAAAATACTGTACTGAACCCCTACTAGATACCTATGTCGCGAAAGTGAGTGCCTACTTCAACCTCTCTCTTAACACTACGCGCACTTTGCATTGTTGTCAATGAAAACAGTCGCCGAAGTGTTTTTTTGTTTATGAACTCTTCGATGTTGCCACTCGAAAATAAATAGCGGCGGTAACGAGCAATATGCCCTAACAAGCTGTTACGTTTTATAACAACCGTTTGTTTGCTATTGTTCCGAAATTGCTGAGTATATCTGCTTTTAGATCGACTTCATAATAATTGACGTGCACGATTAATTGCCTCAGAGATGGAATAACGCTACGTCATGAGTAAAGTTATGTTTTCATGTTGTTTTCTAAGTAATAGCTAAGATACTAACTAAAGTAGCGAAACTATAATATCTTGCAAAACCAATGGTAATATATATTGATTTATAATTACTGAATAATATATCTGTTAATAATTCTAACAAAAGAGAGTCAACAATTTGACTGTTCTAGTCATTTAATTAAAGAGCGGCCGCGTACCGGCCTGCCCGAGTTGGGAATATTAACCGCAATTCTCGGTCAACATTCACAAAATTGACACGTCAAATATTTGTAACTTCGTCCAGGGACCACGTTAGACTGCAAACAGAATCGTGTCTGGTCCACCCTTAATTTCCAATGTTTCCACTCTGCGATTCCGATAAACCAATTTCAGTTTTAATCCCCTGAAATCTGAGTTGAAATTAGTTTGGAGTGTCCGACTTTGGAGCCGCTTGTCAAAACAAAATGGCGCTGACTATGTTTGAATTGGACCGTATCAGTCGCGGAGGAGATTCATTTTGTCGCCTTGCTTAAGATCGCGCCCGAGTCGCCTACATATTGTCTCAGTACACACGGTGAGTGTGTGTTGGGCTTGCATTTAAAGCTAGCTACAAATTTGTTGTTTCAGTACAAATACTATGATGATATTGTTTGCGGTTCGACTTTACGTTCGATCGAGGAGTTTACTCGACGTAGTCTAACAATGTAGCCATTCAAAACAAATAAATTCATTAAGACAATCACTACTTTATTACTTGCTTTTAGCAAACACGGCGTTTTGATTTGTAAATTAGGATAAGATTTCACTTTCAACGTAAACCGACTGATTCAGTGTTTGGTCTCCAAATTTGCTTTTGATTAAAAATACGTTTATGAAGTAAATATTATAAACTTTTAAATAGGAGCATACTTGACAAATATTGTATTGTTAACATTGGCAGGGTAAATATTAAATAATATTATGTGTTCAGGTAAATAATACTGTCGCTAGCCAGTGCGCAGTCTACCTGATGCTCAGAGTTGCCATTATCATAAACCAAACATGTCAATATTTGTCCACACAAACAAGGGCGTAATTTTTAAATAAATTGTGGCATTTCGCGAAATTGTTTCGCAAATAGATTGTGGGCGACGCTCGCGCGATTGTGTGACCAACTTTTTTTCATTTGGTTCCATGTCGCGAGCTAAGCAAATGGAGGGCGGTCGGATGTCCACAGATTATTCCTGATCTATTCTTTGCTGTCCAGGGTTTTGTTGAATCGATTAATAAAACGATTAAGCTCCGTTTGCGGAATATATTCGTAGTCAGCGGGTTTATTTAAACGTCAGCTAGCCTTCTTCGATATCGCAACAACTGAATAAAATTTTGCTTCTGAAATATCGACAGTATCCCCTTGACAGCGGTGGTAACATATTGTACCCACACTTTAGACATTTACAAATCAATAATAACAAATAAATTACTCTAAATATTCATTTACTGCCCGTTCTCCAATCAGGGGTGTAGAAAAGAACGGAAAGAGCTGGATAAAAACTCTCTGCTAATCTAACATAATTTTAAATTTATCCGACGTTTCGCGTTCTTTACAGCGTGGTCACGGTCTCTGCTAATCTTTTTAATCGTCAACTATTTTCTTTTACAAGTTATGAATTAAATCATAATAATATAAATAAATAACAATCCTCGTGTATGTAGTAGGCATGGTGTACTAGAAACACGCACAGTTTATGCAGTGAGAACAAAACGCAAACACAATCTTCCAATTACCAACTATTAACTATATTTAATAATATACGACGGATAATAAAAATATCCTCACAGACAAACAAATTCTATTGTTAATCATTTTAGGCAGAATACAAATTTCCTCTCGTATCACCTGGACGTCCGT